TTTAGTTTTACAGAAATGGACGCCATCCCATTTCAAACCCCCAACGTGGAGGACCAGGTGACTGAGTTTGTCTGACCTCTCACCATTGACCAACCTGGTAGGAGTAACTCTCAAGATGCTCGGAGGCATCACCCAGTATAGCTCAATGGGGCAATGAGGTACGCAAACCGTCGCACCACGTTAAGGTCCAGTCTCATTGCGACGGTATTCCAATTTTGCTATATACCTTTGGGTGTAACAAATGGCGTAGCCTGTTTCCAAAGAATTATAGGTAAAATAATAACTGACGAAAACCTGAAAGCGACATTCGCTTACATGGATTACGTAACAGTGTGCGGAGCTACTGAGGATGAACACAATTGTAATCTGGCAAAATTTTACGAAATCGCTCGTAATTACAACCTAACCTTCAACGAAAACAAAAGCATCATTCGCTCGAATAAGATATGACTGCTGGGCTACGAAGTTTCCCATAAGATTGGCCGGCCGGAATCAGATCGGCTTCAACCATTGTGATCCCTCCCTGTGCCCAATAACGCCAAGTCGCAGGAACGTGTTGTGGGACTTTTTGCCTAGTACTCCTCATGGATCTCCCACTCTGACAAAATGCGTTCACTGATGGACAACCGAATCTTCCCTCTCCTTTGTTCGGTTCTGGAGTCGTTCGAAACCCTCAAGAATGAGTTGGAATTTTCTGTCATCATTTCTGTTGACGAATCAATACCCTTAGTTATTAAGACGGACGCCCCTGACATCGCCATTAAGGCCATACTAACACAGAACGGACGACTAGTCGCCGTTTTATCGTGAACGCTCTCACCCAGCGAATGACACCATTCTGCTGTCGAGAAGAAGGCATATGTCATTGTGGAGTCAGTCCGAAAATAGCGCCACTATCTCATCGGTAATCGCTTCACGATTATTACAGATCAGCGGTCCGTCTCGTTCATGTTCAATCTCAACCAAAAGGGCAAGATAAAAAAATGACAGAATTCTGCGTTGGCGTATTGAACTCTCCTGATACAATTATGATTTGGTCTACAGGACCGGGAAAGCTAAGGTAGCCACCAATGCCTTATCGTGTACCTGTTGCTCCTCCCAATCACATACCCTGCACTCCAAGAACTGCATGATATCTTGTGTCACCCAGGGGTCACTAGATGATTTTATTTGATTTGTTCACCGAACCTATCTTTCTTTATTGAGTGAAATCAATGACATCACGCTGCAGCGTATGTGCCGAACTTAAACTCCGCTTGTACAAGCCATCTGGAACCCTCATTAAGGCAACGCACCCTTTGGGAAGGTTGAACGTAGATTTCAAGGGTCTTTTATCATCATCAACTAACAAGAAGTGTCCATTTACCGTTGTCGATGAATTTTCAAGATTCCCATTTGCTTTTGCGTGTAGCGACATGACAGCCTCTACGGTTGTTGACTGTCTAACCCAACTTTTCTGTCTTCGGTATGCCGCTTTACATTCATTCAGAGCGCGGTTCATCCATTATGTCCCAAGAACTGCGACACTCACCCAAAAAGGCATTGCAGTCAGCCGAATGACGCCGCACAACCCCCGAGGTAACGGAGAAGTGGAGCGGATTAATGGCGTACTCTGGAAATCGATCATCCTTGCACTCCGATCTATAGGCTTCGCAATAACCCTATGGGAAACCGTTCTGTTAGATGCTTTACACTCAATCCGTTCCTTACTTTGCACCGATACAAACGCTACTCCTCATGAAAGACTTTTCTCTTACAACCGCAAAGCGACATCTGGGGTCTCACTATCGAGTTGGCTGAGTAATCCATGGCCCGTATTGCTGCGCCGTAGTGTGAGATCTTCAAACTATGAGCCACTAGTGGATGAGGTCGAGCTATTGGACTGCAATCCCCGGTACGCTCACGTTCGCTTTCCCGACGGAAAGGAAGACACTGTGTTGCTGCACAACTTGGCACCGACAGCACTGCGTCAATCCACTAACCCGTCTACTCCTCATCCCCACACAATAAAACAGCTACTCATACGGCAACGGACACTCACGTAGCCCAAATTGTCCCATCTTGTCCACCTGACCCTTCACATCTTTACGAGCAGCAACAGCGAACGCGTGCTTACTGTTTGCGTAACCCCAAGGTATAGAAATATCCCCTCACACCATTGTCCACAAACATCATGTCGGGGAGGACATATAAACTACATACATGAAGATTAACTCTTAATCACTTTTCTGTCGTTATTTACAACCTTTTTATACTCTACTACAGCCTACTCGTTTCGCTTTCCTGCTGAATAAAGCCTATTCATTCAGGCCACACTCCTTCCCACGGCGTTTTTTCTCCGCCAATGCATATCACAGTATAAAATAACGATTGGGACAGTGTCCGCTGGAGTGAATAAATGAGCTCGTGATTGTGGTCATGAAAGGACTTGGATCCCAAGTGTAGGCTTATGTTCAGGTGGGATTGGAACGATAGGAGAATTCCGTGAGTGCTCCTTCTTGAACGGGTCGTTGAGCAGGGAATTGATTAGGTGCTCGGAGGTCTTGTTGGATCTAAAACGGAATATCTGAAGCACACTCTGGTCAGCCGGTTACTTTCCACGTTTCCTGCCCTAGCAGTCCCTGCTGTGGCAGTCACGTGAAGTATGCAATGGATAAGAATACAAATAGAAGGCACAGAATAAGTTCAATTGAAATGAGAAAATAATACCAACGTATGAAGGAAAGGACAGAAAAGAAAAATGGATTACGAAGACGGGAGTTAGTCAGGAAAAGATTTCGGTTTTCCACCCAAGAGCGTCAAGTGACGCGTAAACTCCTTATTCGTGGATTCCTTGATAACTATTTCATGGAGTATGTCTCAGCGTTCGATGACTCGGTGTGACAGCCAAGCTTTCGCTCTTATCCGCTCGGACCGCGGTGTCTAGCCTCATGGAATGTCCGCGGAGAACAGACAATCTAGCGGGAAGGAATAGCCAAGATAAATCTGGACCAAGCTCTCCAGTTAAGATACGGTAGATTAGGGTTAGGTCTCCTATAAGTCTTCCGTAATGCAGTGAATGCATTCCCAAACAAAGTAGGCGCTCGGGGTACGTGTGTCCCCGTAACCACTCAACCAACCTAGTATTTAGTCGTAAAACTCTTTTTAGCTTCATTTTGTTCCGGATGACGCAGGGCGGACAAGCCTGGACGCAGTATTCCAGATGAAGCCGAATAAAGATTGAGAACAGTCACACAAAGACGTCACCCGTCAAGACTCTGAGGGAACGGCATATTAACCGCGACACACGGAACCATCCACTTGCGGCCTTCTTCTAGTTGTCACCCGAGTGTAAAGTCGAAGTGTACGACGCCTAGATAAACCTGGCTAGATACGTGGGTGAGTTCGACCCCACCGATTAACTACGTCGAAGGGTGACTATCGCCACCAATTCGAAGAACCGAGCACCTTACCTGATTTATAGGTAATAGCCATAATTAGACCAGTCCCAACACCTATGCAAAGAATGCTGAACAATCTCAGGACCCCAGAAACATGGGCGTTTCACAGATTCAGGTTGTCAGCAAATAGTAGTGACGGTAACTCAAGCTTCGCTGGTAGGTTGTTCACATACTTAGAGACCATCAGCGATCCAAAGGCCAAGCTTTGTGATACGCCAATGAGGACAGACTGAGGCCTACGTTTACAGGCTGCATCCCACCATCTAAGAGTGTAGTCATTCAGTGAAAAGCGCGACCGGGTATACGGAAAGAACTTGGGTTTTACGCAATTCTTAAATGGAGTACTGTGTCAAATACCTTAGAAAAGTAGACAGACAGCACGTCTAGTGCGTGGACGTTGCCCTATCGGCACCATTGGACACTGGAGTCTAGGACGGGACTCTCATAAGATGACAGGAATTCCTGAATAAGCTCCGACAAAGGATAAGACTTATTTTTATACATTACAGTGAATAATGTTGAGGATCATTTTGAAATACCCGTGTGGATGGATTGCGAAGCGTCATCTTAATGCCGACCGTGATTCCCATTGAAGTGAACCGTGGACTTTCGATCACGAGGACCGTAGCTGATGCAAATAGAAATTGGGCGTTGCCCGCACGAAAACACTGCATTACTATGACGCGTTTCGATGTTATTACATCTCATCAGATAGGGTTAGCAGGCAGAGAACTTGGGACCATTGAGATGCGGTCGCAATTTATCCACACAAGGTGTATTTCAAAATGAACATCAACATCATTCTTTAAACGGTTGTGCCAAGCGGACGCCTGTGGGACGCACGAAGGACACTCGTGCCGACAAGGTGTCCACTGCATCAGCCAAACTCTCGTGAACTACCAATAGATTAGTTAGACATAAAATACCCTTTCAGAATAAGCGTTGTGCATTGCTGAGTAGATAAAACCTATTCAGATGACTCTCACTAGTTTATCGAAGAGCGTGACAGCCACACTCGTGAGACCACCTGAGCAGGCAGACGTCACTATTTTCGAAGATGGAACAGATGACAGCATACTTCTATTCGGAAGCAATGCACACCTGTCAAACGATTTCTGAAACACGATAGCGAAAGGTCCACTTAGGTCCGCAACCAATACATGTAAAAGCTTCGGGTAAATTAAGACAGGTAACAATAAATTCAGATAGACTAGAACCCCATGGGACTTTGGAAACCAGCTCAACGCCTGTCAACGAGGTTTCTCTTAAAAACGTCGCTGCATACGGCCCACAGGCCTTATTACAGTCAGTATGCGCATGAGTCGGCTCGCATCAATTGGAATGTCGAGTACTAAACGCAGCGCATTTCAACACGCAAAAGTTTTGGAATTCACTTTGCGAAAAATTTGCAACAATCTAGTGGTATCGCAGGATAAGGTGAACAATACGCAACAAAACACGATGGCATACAAACAAGAGCAAGTATTTGAACAACAGATTTATTCATAAACATACTGACATTAGTTAGTATCAGGAAAGATTTCGGGAAATACGAAAGATGTACCTTGCTTTTCGAATTCGGCCCTATTTGGTTGCATGACAATTACTTATTTGTTATTCACCTCAGTTGATGTGCGAACTCGTCATCCACAATATCGTCATCCCAATTATCTTCCCATACAGTAGCTTCTTCTGCTCTCTTTAAGTCCCCACTTTGAGCTGTGGGCAACAACGTAGGGAAAAATTTTACTTACGGTGAGCTGCGAATTCTTCAAATTCATCATCCTCTTCCAGCATGCACAAATCGACCTTCTCAGGCTGCTTTTCCTTGTCAACCACATCTTTACCCTTGCCCTTGATATAGACTTCGCGCGTCATTTCAGCGAATCACAAGTCTGCAAAACAAGTACCTTGCGCGAAGGAAAAATTTCTCGCGGGGTTGCTGGATACAGCTGAAACATGCCAACTCGGTTTGGAATGCAACCGGAAGGTCATTTAGGTACCGTTTAAAATGTGATGATAGAGGTATGGATACTTGTGAAACTCAGCTGTCATTTCCACGGGGGCGGATGGGCTTTGACTGAGGTTTACGCGTATGCTGCGTTCTCTTACAAGCTGAGGATCAAGGAGAGGACTTTGCCTGTCACACCGATGTTTTGAAGTTTGAGCAGCTGTTGTTGGTGAGGACCTTTGTCAAATGCTTTGCTTAAGCTGAAGAATAGCACGTCTATAAGCTTTTGGTCATATATGTATGTTCTGTGAGGACTACGCGGTAACTCGATTTTTTGGCGTGCCATACTGATCGAGTTTTTCAGCTGAAATAACTTGGAAAACAGTGTTTGAATAAACACTTGAGACGAAATTTGACTATTGTCAAATTTTCTCTCATCCAAGATAACTTGGATCGATTAAAGTGGTACTGGTCAAAGCGTCTTTGACGCTTACTGGTAATTTTTTCGGTTGTTCCCAGTTTTAATCCTGTTTGGCACCCTGTTATTGTCTTTTTATTGCGGTCGTTTTCCTATTGTATATGTGTTATATTCCTACTCTGTTTTCCACATGAACATGACTGTCTCCCCAAACACCGGGACGGGTGGACTTATGGGCTCCTCGTTTGATGAGACTACTGCAGCTTGCGGACAGGTTAACTGTTCAGAGCCAGTAACAGATGTATCTGGAAGTATGCAGTGTGACGTCTACTGCCGCTGGTATCACGAAAGCTGTACCGGCCTACAAGCTGACCAGTACAAAATGCTATCATCAAGCGTCCACTTTCTTTTCAGCTGTACTGAATGCTGCGCTAAAAGATCGACGCGCCTGGCTGTCACCGGTGCTAAACTTTCAGCGTTGGCTTCAAGGTTGGCAGATGTTGACTTGGCGTTAGCTAAACTCGCCTCTATTGCTTCGCTCGATACGAAAATGGATTTGATTTTAAAATCCGTAAATATTTCCTTTGAAGACACAGCAATAGTCGGCAACATTGCTGACGATCCATCCACTGGAGTCTGTCAATCGGTCATAAATTCGCACATCCTACCGACCAATCCAGGTAGCATGGCTGGCTGTCCTCATGAGCCGATCAAAGTGAAGAAAAATAGGGTGCGGAAATACCAAAATCTCTCTGCTAAACCCAGAGAATTAGTTGCCACGGCATCGAAAAACATGCCGTCTTTGACAGTCATAAACTCGTCTGACGATTGTACACAGAACTTTCCGAAGCTGCGGACCGTCTCGGCCGCCAGTGAACCAGCCCATTCTGACGAAGTGCTGGTAACTGCTCAATGCGATCCAAAATCAACGGCCCCTTCTCCAGTGAGCCAAAAAAGAAGCGGACTAGATCTGCTCGTAAAACTTTGAAGGGGCTTGAAGACCCAGGAAGTAGTAAGACGCCGGAAATAGAGCGGAAAACCTACGCTACCGTTGCTTCGGCGTCGTTTGTGAAGACAGAGACAGTCCCACCGCCAGTGGTGAAAACAGCTGGTATAGGTGTCGACTCCAAGGCATTGGGGTAAACACGCCCCGTCGTGCCGACTCTTTCACGGATAGTAGCGTTATATTCCGTAACATTACTGAATCTGCGGCCACTCTCCCAAGGGAAGGCATCTTGGATGACATCAAGTGGCTGAAACTGTGTGTCAGCAAGTTGCTTCCACCTGGCTTCCCTGGTGTCACTGTCAGAAAGCTGACCAGATTGGGGAACGTCCCCATTGCTACGCCAAATCCTCGACCCCGATTACTTCGCGCAGTCTCTTCTACCCCGGAGGAACGCAAGTCCTTACTGCGGTTAGCGTTCAAACTTAAGGGTAGTGGTGTCAGCGTTCAGCCGGACCTACCACTTGCAGCTAGATTGAAGTAAAATGAGGCTATCAAAGACCTCAAAACGAGACGGGCGGCTGATGAGCAAGACCCCCGTCTGGTGGGTTTTCAGGGGGTCAGCCGGAAGTTACTTTCCGCCCTAGCAGAACCCATCCTGATGGCGCACGACCCAGGGATGTTCGCGCCGACTTCCATGAGGTAGTACTTAGCAACGTAGTAGTACTTAGCCCAAGGAACAAGGTGCACGAGTTGGGTCTACTTGTAGACAAATCCCGCCTTGACATAGTTGCTTTCACTGAAACGTGGTTGTCTCCGGATATCACGGACGGTGAGGTATATTTATCTGGCCACGCGCTGCTTAGAACTGATCGCTCCGTTGGTCGTCAAGGCGGAGTTGTTGTAATGTATGTGAGCTGTAACGTAGATGTGTTGAGGACCTGCACATTCCAGTCGTCGGATCAGATTGTTGAAGCACTATTGGCTATTTTGTGCACTTCCTCTACCCAGTTTACAGTTATAGTGATATACAGATGTCCTGGAAATTCTTCCAGAAGGATACTTGACTTTATTCGCACGCAGTCTGCGAATATGTGTTTAGTTCCAGGGGATTTCAACCTCCCGGAAGCCTTTTGGGCCGAGCTTTCTTGCAATTCGGCATTAGGAACATTCGGTGCAGACTTCCTTGAACTGACTCTCCATGTGCCTTTGCACCAGTTCGTTGACTTTCCCACTAGATATATGGACAACCAAATACCATCTACTTTGGATTTGGTTTTCGCTAAGTCCCTGGACTTCGTGACTGACCTTTCATACGGTGCACCTATATGGTCCAGCGATCACGCATGCATATCCTTTTGATGTGCTCTTTCAAGGCACCAAGAGACCGCTGTTGAATTACTTCCGAATATTTGGCGGGCGGTCTTCAGTGCAATGCGAGCTAAGGATACAGTTCTGAACTGTGAGATCTCGATGGCTGACTCTGTCCAGTTAGCCTGGGATAAATTTAAGGCATACCTTACGGAGGTTGCCACTCCCTATATTCCACTCATTAGGAAAAGAGGGTTAAGGGCACAGCCTCCACGGATAGATACCACAGGCAAGTACCTACTCAAGATAAGATCTAGATGCTGGCGAACCTACCAAGCAGCTCCATCAGCCAGCACCTATGATAGTTATCGAGAGATTAGAAGTAAATAAATAAATAAATAAATAGTTTATTCTCGAATTTATCGAGACACACCAAGCAAGGCATGATCAATATTTACATGTAATATTGCTTCGCAACAAACACGTTGCTATGAGTGTAGTCGGCAGTAAGCCGAAGATTGTACAGGCTGCGGACATTGTGTGAGTAGTCATGAGGGATAGAGTCTTCAATGAATGACGAAACGTTGAATTCTAGCGTGCGTAGTGTAAGCAACATCTCAGGACTGCTCGTCTCCAGTACAAGCAGGGTTTAGCGGACTCGGCCGCAGCTAATCCCAAGAAGTATTTTGCTTACGTTAAAAGACGCAGCGGGGCAAAACTGTCTATACCAGCTTTATTGCGAGCAGACGGGACCCGTGCGCAAACTGACTATGACAAGGCTTGTATACTGAGTGATCAGTATACTGGGGTCTTTGCTCGGGAGACCTCTTTACCACAGGTTGAATTGGTTTCAAGAGTTCCGGAGGATTCTTGCTTAGCCGAGTTTAGCATAAAGGAGACTCAGGTCTTCGAGCTACTGCAAGGCATTAATCCCTCTAAAGCTTCCGGTCCTGATTCAATTCATCCGAAGCTATTGCATGAATTGGCCACTGAGCTGAGTGATCCGCTCACATGCGTGTTTTCAATATCGCTGGACAGCTGCAGCCTACCTTCGGAATGGAAGGACGCAATCATCTGTCCGATTTTTAAGGGCGGTGACAGCGCTCTACCCGCGAACTACCGGCCTGTCAGTCTGACAAGCATAGTAGTCAAGTTGTTTGAAAGCTGATAAGGGATTCAGTGGAGAACCACCTGAATGGATTCAACCTTCTCAGTGTTGCGCAACGTGGATCCCGAAAGGGATTTTCATGTCAGACTAATCTACTTGTAGCTCGTGAAAGCTAGACCGAAGCGGTAGACAGTGGCCACGCTGTAGACGTGCTATTCGTAGATTTTTCGAAAGCTTTTGACACGGTTCCACATCTTCGGCTCTCACTAAAGTTGAGATCTTACGGGATATCTGGTCGCGCCCTTCAGTGGGTGTCTGCCTTCCTTGAGGGGAGGGAACAGTGCGTACGGGTGGGGCGTAGCCTTTCGCTCAGGCAAGCTGTCCATAATGGCATCCCGCAGGGCTCAGAATTAGGGTCATTTTTGTTCGCGATCTTTGTAAATGACTTGCCGGGAGAGCTAGGGGTGTCATCACTAATGTTTGCTGACGACGTTAAGCTCTGGAATATTGTGGGTATCCCGGGGGTCCTGAGGCAATTCAGCATGCCTTGGATAGGCTCTGGGAATGGTCTACCTTATGGTTGATGCCCATAAATAGGGCCAAGTGCTCGGTTCTCCGAATCGGAGCTGAACATCCTCCCACCCGATAGGTTGTCGGCGGTGGTGAACTCCCTGTTGTCACTCAGCAGGTTGATTTAGGAGTCGTACACGCATCAGTACTTCATTTTGGAGACAATTGGAAGAAGGCTGCTTGTCGAGGGTTTCGTATGATGTGGTTTATCCGCCGCTCTTTCGGAATCTTAACGGCCAATTTGTTTGTGAAGCTATTTTCGGCATTCGTCCGACCCCACCTGGAATATTGTATTCAGGCTTGTCCACCATGTCTTAACCGAGAAAAAATGAACTTGGAGAAGGTGTTACGAGTGGGCACTCGGTTAGTGCAGGGTTTACGGGGACAAACGTATCCTGAACGCTTGCTCAGTTTTGGGATGTACTCAATGCACTACCGAATGATAATAGGAGGCCTGATGCTCACTTATCGTATTTTGACAGGTAAGATTGGCCCGGACTTGTCAGGGCTATTTAGTCCCGTTACGTTACCTAATCTCCGCGGTCACCCGCTGAAACTGTATAAGCCACGGTCTGATAGGATTAGGACGGAAACTCGTCTATCGCGTCGAGTTATAGATCGCTGGAATTCGCTTTCAGATCACGTGGTTAGGAAACCT